ATGGCACTCAATAGCATGGCTGGGAAGACTTCATTAAAGACCATGAGGACAGTCCCAGCTGCCATGGTGGTGAGGTCCTGCAGTGAGGAAGCCATCTGCAGCAACAGCCCCAATGGAAGGGAATGTGGGTTTGTAGCCAAGGGGCCCAGTAGGGCTCAGTACATGAGAATACCAACAGGAGGCATCAGAATGAGGGGGTGCTGTTCAGCACAACTGCAGGATTGTTGCTGCAGACAGGCCGGCATGAGCACATGCTGTCTGGGGCACAAGGAGCAAGAAGAACCCGCTCAGAGGGGGAGTGTGACCAGACAAGTCTGGGGAGGACTGAGCTCCTGCTGTAATGACATTCTGGTTCCTGGTCATAACCACATGTAACAGGAAAGGGCATAGTGGGACAGTGTGATGTGATTTGGGCCTAGCATCATTCCACAGATTTCGTATGAACAAGTGTTTCAGTGACTGATATGAATATCGGTGCCTTCAGTTCTCTTGTTTAAATTTTCTTCCCTACATCTCCAAAAGTTGAGTTCTGTGGTTTAGTTTTAAAGTTGGAGCACTTTGGGCATGGTAGGGGAAGTTGTCATAGTTTTTTCACCTGTTACAGAAGTCATGCTTGAAATTGACCCAGGTTTAATCAATTACTTTGGTAAAATTTTATGAGTACAGCTTCTAGCATTTTGAGAAGGAACAAGCTCACAGCAAAGACCCTGACCCTCTGGCTCTTACAGTCTTTATGCTCTCCTTTTCCAAGTGTTCCCTGGGACTTGAGTGTGAGAGTGTTATGTAGATGTACCCATTTGGACTGGGCTCCACTACTCAGCATTTTGATTGCTTGTGGTTTCCTGGGAGATAGATATATATATATGCAAATACATATAAGCATGTAAAAACAATTCATGAAAAAAGAAGCTATGAAGTTGAAGGACAGTTTGTAAGCTCAGATTTGATGGGGAATCCACAACCTTGCTGGAATGTGATTTCCCAAAAGCTTCTGATTCCAGTGGAAAGTGCAGCTAGGTGTGTCTGCTCAGGATCTTCTTGTCTCTCTGCAACATTCCTTCCTCCTGGGTGTGGGCAAACCCTCTGGCAGGAAGGTCTGCTATCTTGCTTGCTGATAGGCTAGCTTAGAGAAGCCCTGCAGAGGCAGCTAGGGGAAGAAATGCTGGGCGGGAGGCTATGGGAACATTTCTAGAGATGTGTAGCTTTGCAGGAAATGGATTCTTATTTCCCAGAATCAAGCAGAGCTGTGTATGCACCTAAGGCCAAACATAGTGGCCTCAGTGTTGAAGAGGATTTTTTTAATTGATTTTGGATGTAACATAAAGTTGATAAGAAAAACCGAATTTGATCAATGTTTAAAATTTTAGTAAGTAATACTATCAACACTGAAAAAAAAATCCACCCAAATGTCTAATATATTTAAATGTTATGTACCTGGAAATTAGTTGAAACTCCAAATGTAAAAAAAGAACTAACAAACAAGTAAAAATCCCACACTGTCTGAAGGCTTGAAAGGTAAAATGTCTATCTCTGAGTCCTTAGGTCAAGTACTCAGAACCCACTCGCTAAAAAGGGACATTACCAGAAGTTGTCTTTTACTTAATGCAGGAGACACATACATTTTGGGGTGTGTATGTGTATGTGTGTGTGTGTGTGTGTGTGTGTGTGTGTGTGTGTGTGTGTGTATACATACATTTGAAACTCCTAAAACTCACCAAAGCCACAAAATAAATAAAGCAATAAAGAACTATTAGAGAATTCCCTATTAGTAAGATACCGATGCGAACTGAGGCACTGAAACGATTCTCCACAGCACTGATTCTTGAGAAACACAGCTCAGAACCTCCTCACACAGTGGGAAAGGCCTCTTCAGAAATAGAAGCAGGAGGCAACATTTGTCAGGGGAGAGCACCCTTGGGCATGGCTGGTGGTAAAGCATAGTGGTGCCTGCTCTGTTGGACTGTGGAGAAAATTGAAGAGAGAATTAGACCCTGAGCTGCCCTTTTGAATGTGTACCCAAGAGATTAAGGCAGAGGTTGAAACATGTTTATCACTTAAGGTATAAAGGCAGAACAAAGGTCCAGCAAGGAACTAAACACATAAACACATAAACAAAGCCCAAGATCTCCATATTGGAGGAGTAACACAAATGCAGGAAACATGGACTGACATATGCTATGGGGGCTGCTCATGCTGTAATGGTCATATCCCTTCATACAATTGAAATAGCAATTTACTTTCAACAAGCTGGAGTGTAAAGGGTGATACAGGCTTTCTACCTGTAGCCATTCTTAAACGCAAACACAGAGAATTGAGTAGTGGGTGCTAGACTGGAGAGAGAGGAGATACTTACTGAGAACAGACTTTCAGTTTAGGGATACAGAATAATAGACTCTGGAGATCTATGGTCCTGACAGTTGCAAGACAGTATGTATGTTGCTAATTCCAAAGATGTGCTGCTGAAAGGTTGATTTACATGAGACCCTGGTGTATCACAATGAAAAAGTTATAGGTCTGATTTTGTTTCTAAATAGAATATCAATATAGTCTTAAATAAACAGAAGCTTATAGCTAAGAATGTCATATGACTCCAAGCTTTGTTTTTGTTTTTGTTTTCTCAAAACAGAGTTTCTCTCTGTAGCCTTGGCTATCCTAGACTCACTTTGTAAAGCAGACTGGCCTCAAACTCACAGAACTCCACCTGCCTCTGCCTCCCCATCTGCTAGGATTACAGGCATGCACCACTGCCCTGCTGCTGACTCCAAGCTTTAATCAAAGAACTCAGAACATGATTAGCAAAGGCTGTTTGAGAAAGATCACAGCGATATTTCACTAAAAATTGTTTTCCACAATGTGAGTAAATGAGGATTGAGAACAGCTGTGGTTTATTTTTCTCAATTGCACAATGAGAAGAGCTATTACTCCTCATTTTTATTAACAAATGCTTCTCTCACCTAAAGAGTTTCCAAACCCTATCTCACTCCTAGCATTAGCCTCTGTAATACTCCGAAATTCAACCCTAAGGCAGCATTTGAGAAAACATAATGTAAACTCAGAGGTAAATGCAAAAAAAGACTCCAAAATACCAGTCACTTTCCTATCCTTCACCTAGGTTTGTGCAGACACCTCACAACGTCTGCTGTAGTTGAAGATATGAGAGAAGGGAGACAGAAATGAACAGACAGCGTGAAATGAGTGACAGGTGGCCCGCAGTCTCAGAACACCCTCAGCCCAGATCATCTCTGGATTTGCATTGGCCATCTCCTAAAGATTCTTAGAAACACAGTTATCTTCCTCCCAAACAATGGGGAGAATGAGCCCATTCTGTACCCACCAGAGGACCTAGCTTAGCTGTCAATTAAAGGAGACACTAGAATAGAACAGCTCACAGGGCAGCACTGGAAATTATTTTAACCAAAATCTCTACCTCAAAGGCAAATTCAGGGTCGTAAATCCACACCCAGTTAGCTAGAACCTTCCATCATGAACCAAGTGCCAAGGCCTCTGTGATAGCACTTTCTCAGCTGAAGTCACTAGACTCACAAACTCTACTTTCCTACAGCAGGAACACACTGCTCCCTTCCCCACAGTCCACCTAGGCAGCACACACCCAAGGCCCCAGGACAGGGTGGGAGTCAGTGTCAATACATGCCTACAATCACACGGCCTGGAGATCCAGTCCAGTTGCCCACCCAGCCAATTGCAGGGAGGGGCAACTGGGCAGGGACATTGTCCTGGAGCCACAGACTTGGGACTTAAAGCCTGGATCCACATGCAGCTGGGTCACAGCCTAGGATCTCAGCAACCTCTGAAGACCGGAGACTGTGAAGCACAGCTGCCCAGCGCTGGACGTCCCAGGTGAGCCCATAGCTCTATCAAGGCAGACTGGGAACTGACACTGGAGGAGCACCCTAGAGAGCCTCCTTGTAGCATCATGCAGCTACCTCAGGAATGACAGTATCAACTCAACCTTAGCAGACCGAAGGTGGGGATGCAGAGGAGGTTGGGTGGGGAAGCCCAGGACGTCACCAAATCTTTCAGGGGGCCAGGTGTGTACAAAGTATCAATAATGTGAAATCAGGTAAACTGATCCCTCTGTGTGAGCAGAACCTAGCAGGCTGCCTCTAGTCACACAGGCACAGGAAGAACCAGCTTTTTCTATATATAAGCTACCATGATCATCACTCCCTATGCCAGAAGGGATCATCATTGTCATGTAAACCAAGGTCAGGGACAATTCTCTGGTCTCATCTGGCAGGTGCCCAAGGAATAGCCTGTGGCTTGACTCTTGCATGACCCTTTCTGAAATGCCTCATGCAAAAGCTTATATATCCTAAATCTGGCATTGATCTCTCTTTGTTTCCTACCTAAACTGGTGGCTGGGGCATCCTGTACTCAGCCACAGGGCACTCCTCATTGAGACAGTGAGGTGGGACTCTAAAGGCACATCACTGTTGTGGGGCAGATTCCTAACTGTTGTCTTTCAAGATTTTTCTAGAGGGGACATACCAGAAAGATTCTAGAAGGGAAAGAGCCCAGGCATATTCTGGCTTAGTGTACACTGACCAAGAAAGTCTTGCAGATCTCTTTGTATGTACAGAGGAATCACATTGTGCATGAGTTATGGCTAGCTTAGGAGACCTCAATATCAATGGGACAAAACCTGGGCCAGATGTCTTAAGAAGTTAGCTGCTGCTTTGACTGGATTAACAGTGGGTTTATCCAGTATCTCTGGTGAGCCAAGTGCACAGTGCACACACTCCAAGTCTGGAGATCTGGGCAGCTTCTCTTTACTTCATTTGACTCATGGGATCATTTTTTACATATGTGCTGTTAGCCGACCTCATTCTTAGCCATGCCAATGATCACTGAGAGATGGTTAAAGTAATTTCATTCTACCATGATGACCAGAATTCCACATCCTATGTAGAAACCAGAATTTACTGAAGAATTTCCATGATCAGAATTTCATTTCTTCGTCATCTCTAGGTTTTGGAAGCATGATTCCAATTTTCTTCCTGGCCACTCTTTGCTTGGAGGTGGTCTCAGCTGCTCCAACACACGATCCCAATTTCGATGCTGTATGGCAGGAATGGAAGACAAAACATGGGAAAACATACCATATGGTTGGTACCATAGAAATGTCCAGAGGCAACACAGAGACAATGGTCCTTGCTGGGGCAAGTTTATAGAGAGTTTGCATTGTGGAAGCCAGTTCCTCCCCGGCTTGACCACATGGCATGCTTTATGGACACTAATGTCTAAATACCCTATTGACATAGGGTCTGGATTCTAGCTTCCCTTGGTTCTTATCACCTGTAGCAGCAGGGCCAGTGAGGGAACTATAGGATTGGGCTTGACACACCACACACTGTGTTTATTCCAGAGTGAAGAAGGACAGAAGAGAGCGGTGTGGGAGAACAACATGAAAATGATTGAGCTGCACAATCAGGACTATCTTCAGGGGAAGCATGGCTTCAGCCTGGAGATGAATGCCTTTGGGGATCTGGTGAGTGTGACGTGGGTTGCAGCACATCATACTTCCTCCCTTTGGTACCTTGTAAGTCATCCCTCCCTTTGTCTCTTTTTTCTTGAAGACCAATATAGAATTCAGGGAATTGATGACTGGCTTTCAAAGCATGGAACCCAATGAGGAGAACCTTTTCCAGGAGCCTTTGCTGGGAGATGTCCCAAAGTCTGTGGATTGGAGAGATCATGGCTATGTGACTCCTGTGAAGAATCAGGTAGGACATGGCACATTGTCAGGTATCACTCACCGTCTACCGTGGAGCCAGGAAGTCTTGCTGACTGTGGAGCTTCATGCAGTTCACTGTGTTATTGTATCATGTGTATTGCTTTGAAACACCTGTACTCTTTTTCTCTCTCTTCTAGGGTCGTTGTGGTGCTTGCTGGGCTTTTAGTGCAGTTGGTTCCCTAGAAGGACAGATGTTCCGTAAAACAGGCAAACTGGTCTCTCTGAGTGAACAGAACCTAGTGGACTGCTCCTGGTCATATGGCAACCAAGGCTGTAATGGTGGCTTGATGAACCTCGCCTTCCAGTATGTGATTGAAAACAAAGGCCTTGACACAATGGTCTCCTATCCATATGAAGCACAGGTAAGTAAAAATCCTAAGGTGTTGATTTTCCTAACTAGGTTCAGAAAGCAAAACAATTATGTTACTGTCCTCAGGACTCATAAAGGGTAGAAGCCAGCTTACTAAATCCTAAGTGCTGCCATTAAAATGTCAGCCTTTTGCAGGCTAGTTTGATTCCATGGTTTCCATATAGCTGTCCCTGCTTCTGCTCACATGGATTATATGTAAAACAATTCACAGGTAATACCAATTTCTCTCCAATGTGGAACGCTATTTTCTATAGGAATATCCATAGCATGTCATTGAAGACATGTGAGCTAGTTTCTACCAGCTACTGAAATCTATCAGCTTAACATGTCCTGTGACATTTGGTAAGCACATACACGCGGAGCTCCTCCACAGCAAATGCTGAGTCACCTTTGTAGTGACAACTCAGCTGAGGGTACTTCTGAATAACTCACGTTTCCCCAGAGGTGGATGGCAATAACCATAATGTTTTTATTCTCCTTTGCCATTCAAAGAATGGACCCTGCAGATACGATCCTGAATATTCTGCAGCTAATGTCACAAACTATGTAAAAATCCCATTGAGTGAGGATGCTCTGATGACGGCCGTGGCCACTGTGGGCCCCATCGCCGTTGGAATTAATAGTCAACACCATTCCTTCAGGTTCTATAAAGGCGGTAAGTGTGCTTCCTTACAGCAGTCACAAGGAAAGGTTGTGCTTCCACCACAGCCTGTGAATTTGATTACCTTTTGGTATATAAAATATGTAAACATTTTGAATTGCATATGTTACATTCAACAGGAACAATATTTATGTGTTGCCTTTTACTTGGCATTCATTAAACACAATCCCATGAACGTGTATCTATTATTTTTTTAATTAGCAAAATCAGGTTTTATGTGGCTTAATATTATTGATTTTTTGGCAGTTGTGAAACTTTAAGACTTTGATAGATGTTCCACTTTTCCAGTTCAGTTTTAGGGAAGCCTCTTGATTGCAGCAGGTGGAGGATTCCTTCCAAGCAAGCATTTTCCCTGAGGATTTATGCTAATCTTTACTTCTGTTATGTTACATAAGAGCAGATGTCACAAGAGTCTGGAGTATACGTGATTGCACTGAAATTAGAAATGTTTCTATGACTGTTAGTGACATGGTCACTGTGGGGTCACTAGAGCCTCTCATTCTAGCTTTGATTTTCTCTTCCAGGCATGTATTATGAGCCAAACTGCAGCAGCACTAGTCTGGATCATGCTGTCCTGGTGGTTGGCTACGGTGAAGAATCAGATGGCAGGAAATACTGGCTGGTCAAGAACAGGTATAAATATCCCAAAACATTCATGTTTGAAACACTAAGGGAAATGTACTGTTTGCAGGCAGTATTTGGGTGCAGGTTTCAGCAATTTACCCCACATATTTTGAATACAGAAGTTTCAGGGTGCAGTAATCACAATAAAACTCTGACATGGTTTGAGGAGTGTTAAAATAGAATTTGAACCACTGCATTTCTAGTTCTGAGCCAAATATGGCTGTGGAGATTGCCTGTGCTTTCTCTGCTGTGATTCCCAGTCATGATTTACTCAATAGTTGGTGTCCAAGAGTTGACCCTTTGCCCTCTCTCATCCTATCTGTTATGTGTGGCCTCAGTCTCTGTGTTTCAGTGAAGAATCAAGTTTCTTTGAATGAAGTTTCTTTGCTGTGTTCCCTCTACTAAATGGCTAACATGCTCTTCCAGCTGGGGTGAAAACTGGGGCCTGAATGGCTATATAAAGATGGCCAAAGACCGGGACAACAACTGTGGAATTGCTACCTTTGCTGTCTATCCCATCGTGTGAGCTGCTGGACAGCAAGAAGGAAGGCGTGACTAAGGAGAGCATGTACAGAGGAGGGCTTTCCCTTCACAGACTAGCCTCTGCTGTGGGGAAAATGACAGCTGAGTCACTGAAGGTCCATGCTATGGTGTGAATTCCGGACGGTGTGAATTCCGGGACATTTTACTCCAGTTAAAGGAGACTGCCCCTCTGCTGCTGTGAGCAGCATTGTATTAATGAGTTCTCAATTTTCATTTTTTACAAGATGTACATAATTTTTTTTAATAAAACCTATGTTTAGATGACTGATGGTCCATTGTTATTGCTGTGGCTTCTGTTAATCAAACTTGTAGTTCAGTGTGAAGAGGTTATGAAGGTGGTCATGGTGTTCTAGGGGATGGTGTGAGATGCTCTTTTAGTCAAGTTCCTTAAGACTCATTAGAGTCTTTCCTTAAGGACCTCATTAGAGTTCTCTCCAGACTTTGTGTACTCACTGTCAACCATGGTACAAAGAACAATGAAAAATCTAAGTGAAAATTCTTTTAATCCACACAGATTTTCATAGTCTAAATTATTTGCCCTTCTAGGCAGTGAGATGGCACAGTGGGCTGTTCCCCTGAATGGGGCGTGGGCCTTAGCCACTGTTTCAAGCACATCAGAACAAAGTAATCACTCTGCTTCACTCATTGATTTTTATTGTTCAAAAATTGTTTCCAGTATATATTTTTTTATATTGAAATCAGGAGAAATGTTGGGAAGGAAGGAAGAGGGCACTACAATTTCAGGGAGGTTATTCATTTCCTACCTCAGAGGGGAATGGAATATTAAAGTTAAGATATATAAGGTGGTATCATTTTACAAACAGAGCATAAAAACTTCTTTCCACACATATGGTCTGTTTGCAAATATATGAATATATCGAGATGCATAAATTAATTTTTGGCATGTTTGGAAGAAGCTGACAGTATGGGAGGGGGCTGGTGACTGGAATGAAAGAAGGGTTTCCTGGCCCTGTCCTGACAGTGCAAGCAGCTGAACTACATAAAGTTGCTTGTCATGTCTTTTATTATTATAGCAATTTTTCATTATAACATTTCAGATAACACTGAATAACAAAAAATAACATGACACTAAAAGCTAGCATTTCCAACCCAGCTCCCACTTCCTCCCATTGCCATCACTATTAACAGTTTACCATATGTACTTCTGTGTTTTCTTTCAAAAAGGCAAACAAGATGGACATTGGAAGAGGGAGACAACAGGGAACAGGACTGGAGCCTACCACAGAGGGCCCCTGAAAGACTCTACCCAGCAGGATATTGAAGCAGATACTGAGACTCATAGCCAAACTTTGGGCATTGTGCAGGGAATCTTTTGAAAGAAGGGGCTGTGTAGAAAAACCTGGAGGAAACAGGAGCTCCACAAGGAGAGGAACAGAACCAAAAAATCTGGGCCAAGGTATCTTTTTTGAGACTGATACTACAACCAAGGCCCAAGACTGGAGATATCTTAGAACCCCAGCACAGATGTAGCCCATGGCAGCTTAGTCTCCAAGTGGGTTTCCCTAGTAAGGGGAACAGGAACTGTCTCTGACATGAACTCAGTGGTGGGCATTTGATTACCTCCCTCTGAGAAGGGAACAGCCTTACCAGGCCATAGAAGAAGACAATGCAGCCAGTCCTGATGAGATCTGATAGGCTAGGGTCAGGTGGAAGGGGTGGAGGACTTCCCCTATCAGTGGACTGGGGGAGGGCTATATGAGGGGAAGAGAAAAGGACAGTGGGATTGGGAGGAGACAAGGGAGGAGGCTATGGCTGGAATACAAAGCAAATAAATTATAATTAATAAAAAATAAATTATTATAAAAAAAGAATGAACACAGAACTATTTACCAGCTTCATAGATAGAGGCTTTAATTTTATTTGGTCTTTAATGATATTATATGATGTGTATTGTTCTAGGATTTTATTTTTGTACTCAGTCCTGAATGTTGAACCCTTCCATGCCTCTAAACATATAGCCATATTTAATGTTCTCTGATAAATATTTAATATTAATTTTAAACATCACTTTCCAAAAGACAAAGACTCCTGTTCAGAGAAGCGACCTCCCCCCAGCACAGCCTATGCCTGCATCAAGGGATAGAGAGTATTGTTACTTTTGTTGCTACTGCAGTAACAAAGCTTCCACCATTTAGGGCCCTCAAGCCCTAGGTAAAGGTAAAGCTTGTGTTTTAGAGCAGGGATGGAGACCTGGTGACTGATGGGTTGCACAGAACCCTGGTGCCATTCCATAGACAGTCTTCCAGTCACACCCAGTATACTGAACATTCACAAGCCCCTGAGCTCCCGACACTGGCTGTGGGGAGAAGAGGTTCTTTATCTTTGAGATCTTAAGGCGGTGTTTGTCTGAGTCGTTTTGAAAACTCTTCCAGTGCTGACAAGGTTATTTACTAGGGAAAGTAGATTATTTGCAGCACTGGTGCCAGGAAGTCCACTTACCCACACGTAACCAATAGAGTTTACCCTTAGATTGTAACGTATACTGATATTACTTTAGTGGATCTGATGAGCAATAAGACTGTTACGAACTGGAGAGTTGGCTCAGTGGATAAAGGCACTTGCCACCTACCTGAGCTCAGTTCTCAGAATCTAGGTGGTGGAAAGAGAGAAGGGACTTCTGAAAACTGTCCTCTGATCTGCAAGGGTGCACAGTAGCATATGTGCCCCCAAAACACATGCACACACACACACACACACACACACACACACCGCAGTATATGCAAAAATGAGGTGATTGTGACTTTCAAATAATGGAGAATAGGTCAACTGATTTTTTTAAATTTAGTTCTTTTTTAATTTTTATTAACTACAGTTTATTCACTTTGTATCCCCCCCTGTACCTCCTTCCCTCCTCCCCTCCCAATCCCACCCTCTTTCTTCCCCACCCATATCCCTCTCCCAGTCCACTGAAAAGGGAAGTCCTCTTCCCCTTCCCTCTGATCCTAGACTATCAGGTCTCATCAGGAGTAGCTGCATTGTCTTCTTCTGTGGCCTGGTGAGGCTGCTCCCCCCTCAGGGGGAGGTGATCAAAGAACAGGCCAATCAGTTCATGTCAGGGACAATCCCTGTCCCCATTACTATGGAGGCCACTTGGACGCTGAACTGCCATAGGGTACCTCTGTGCAGGGGTTTCAGGCCATTTCCATGAGTGGCCCTTGCCTGGGTATCACTCTCAGAAAAGACCCCTGTACCCAGACTTTTAGGATCTGTCAGTGTCCTTGTGGAGCTCCTGTCCTCTCCAGGTCTTACTGTCTCCCACTTCTTTCTTAAGATTCCCTGCACTCTGCCCAAAGTTTGGCTATGAGTCTCAACATTTGCCTCGATACCCTGCAGGGTAGAGCCTTTCAGAGACCCTCTGTGGTAGGCTCCTGTCCTGTTCCCTGTTTACTCCCTCCTCTGATGTCCATCCTCTTTGCCTTTCTGAAAGGGGATTGAGCATCTTAGCCAGAGTCCTCCTTCTTGATTAGCTTCCTTAGGTGTACAGATTTTAGTATGTTTATCCTATATTATATGTCTAGTATCCACTTATGAGTGAGTACATACCAGGTATGTCTTTCTGCTTCTGGGATACTTCACTCAGGATGATCTTTTCCAGTTCCCATCATTTACCTGCAAATTTCATGATTTCCTTGTTTTTTATAGCTGAGTAATATTCCATTGTGTAGATGTACCACAATTTCTGTATCCATTCCTCCACTGAGGGGCATCTGGGCTGTTTCCAGCTTCTGGCTATTACAAATAAAGCTGCTAAAAACATGGTTGAGCAGATGTCCTTTTTTTATACTTGAGCATCTTTTGGATATATACCTAGGAGTGGTATAGCTGGATCTTGAAGAAGCACTATTTCTAACTGTCCGAGAAAGCACCAGATTGATTTCCAGACTGAATTTAAAAGCAAAAATGATATTGTGACTTTCAAAAAGCAGACTCCTTATTACATTTAGTGTAATAGAAAAACAAATGTTCGGAGAAAAACACATTTGTCAGTCACAGTTTAATAAGGAGCTAACATCTAAAAGATGCAAAGAACTCATAAGATCCAACTCCACCAAGACCAAACAAACAGCCCAGTTAATGCAAAGCCCTAAAGGAGAGAGGGAGAGTCCTTCAAAATAAATACTTAGCTCCCATCTGCAATGAAAAGATACTCTGTACCATTAATCACTAGAACGGGACAAATTAGCCTCACAATAAGATAAAAAGAAAGAAAAAGAACAGAAAGAGATTGCAGAGGTGCCTAGAGATATGTTCTGTGCATGGGGCAGCATCCACTATTAAAAAAAATATAGCTGGGCATGGTGGCACACATCCTTAATCCCAGCACTCTGGAGGCAAAGGTCACCCCGATCTACAAGTTAGTTCCAGGACAATCGGGACAGTTACACAAAGAAAGCCTGTCTCAAGAAAACAAGAGAGAGAGACAGAGACAGAGAATTGAAAGCTGGACACAGTTACACACGCCTGTAATCCCAGCACTCGGGGAGGCAGAGGCAGGCTGACCTCTCTAAACTAGAGGCCAGCCTGGTCTATAAACAGCCAAAGAGAACCACAGAGCCACAGAGAAACACTGTCTCAAAAGTCCAAGAGAGAGAGAGAGAGAGAAAAACAATTTCCCCAGGACCCTCACTTTTGAGTAAACATGTAAAAGAATTGAAAGCACAGCTACTGAGCAGTTATTTGTATGTCAGTATTGACAGCAGCATTGTTACAAGTGTCCAAATGCCCATCAAGGAATGAACGTGGTATCTACAAAAAACAGAATATTGTTATTCAACTTTAAAAATAAATAAATGTATGACATGCCATCTAAGCATTATTGTGAAGTTATAATGTGAAGGAAAATACCCAGATGTAAAAGAGCAAATCCAGAATGGCTCCATTCATGCAGCCCCTAGAAATGTCTGTTGTGTACTGCAGTCCTAGAGCAGTGGGGGTTGGGTAATTTATGATGAATGGAAATTA